AGTTAGTTTGCACTCATTATTTGAACGTGTAAACGAGCCTGAAGACGATCGTGAATGGGATAATTCGATCTTGCGGGCAACACGAGCCAAAAGTGATCGTACCTAATCAGAGGGCCGTGAACGATGTTAAAACACCGGGCACCCTCCCCGTCCCGGTCTTATTTACGCCCCGGGGGCCAATAAGTCAATTTATCACACCGTGATTTCGGGCGTTAAGTGGTTATCACTGACTCATACGTATACGCCCGGCCGTCTAGACAGCCGAGCCTATTTCGGGCATAAATCACTGCACGTTCGGGCGGTTGGCTGGCTGGCTGGCGTACGGTGCGTAATAATGAGCAAGCGAGCGTAACACGCGACCCTTTACGAACCGTAGGACGAGGTGAAACGAGTGCCCACCACCCCGTAAGGGAACGTGGAAGGGATTAGCGTGCTTGCTGTGTTGTCCGTACTTGATACTAAGAGCCCCGAGTAACACGCGGAATTCTTTGGGTCGAACCTTTCGGGCTTTAAGAGCCCGCGGGCAGAGAGGCTTCTTTGATTTCCATCTTTGTACACGGGCGTGAAACGGAATTTTTTTTGTCCCTTCCATTTGGGGTTCAGACGACGAGGTTCCTTTTTCTTTCGCGAAGCCGTATATGACGCGTGCTCTACGTTTAAACATCGAGTTTTTTAACGGAGGTTGCGAGGACCCCAACTTACATCTCCTGGACATAAGGGTTTCCAAACTGAGATCCCCTGAGCCCAAGAACTCTAGCTTGAAACATCTTGGACCCAAAGACCCCAGCTTGAAGCTTCCTGGACCCAAGTATCCAAACTTGGGATCCCCTAGATCCCTGGTTCTTGGGCTTGAGTCCTTGAGTCTGTGGGGTCTTTAGCATCAGGTCCTTGGATTCAAGGTGTTCCACGACTTAGATCCTTGAGTCCAGGGGATCACTGGCCTAGGTCTCTGACTATAAGTCACATTTCAGCCTTTCGGTATTAGGTTAGCTTAATTCGAGTCTATTCGTCCTAGGTTGAACCGATTCAAGTCTCAGAGCCCTCAGTTGCACTACCTCCAGACTTACTGCCTCTTGACTTCGTTCAACTCAAATCTCTCGAGCATCTGTCGTACTATTAATTCCAGTCTCTTGTTCTACGATTGATCCGTCTTCTGTCTCGCTATCCGAAATTCTTCCATTCCATGTCTCACGGTTCCCAGGGTACACTAATTCGGCTCCCTCGTCCCTACATTACACTATTTACAATCATTCGACCCCCAGTTCGCGTCCATCCAAAACTATCAATTCACGCAAGTCAAATCCATTGTCCATTCGAATGAAGTTCTAACCGTCCTAATAATTCGAAATTATTAGACCAAATGCACAGTGAATTTGAACGCGCACCATTCGTTTCAAACTAAACGTACCTTCGTCGCTAACATACAACACGAATCCTCTAAACAGTGTCCCATACCACCCATTATCACATAATTCCCCGAATGCAAAAGTTCGCCACGACATGCGACTAAGTAGCTCCGCCATCTCCCAGCCACGGTGAATTCACCGTGTTCCACGTCCTTAAACCTCGGTTTCCGAAACGGTACAATAAACCCGGAAGCACCGACAGAGTCGGAGGACCTCCCAGTCTCGAAATACCAGCGTGGAATCAGCGTCGAAACAGGGTTGGGGGGATGGGAAGCGGGTAACGATAATTCCGTATCGTGTCTAACCGAACGAAATACCCGTGGTTGGGGCGCGGCCATGGATTATGGAAGTTGCCTAAAGTTTCACGAAGTCGCGGAAAACGACCGAGACTCGGTCCTGGATTCCGACTGCTCTCACTCGTCCCCGTTCACTAGTACGTACGGTGTGTGTGTGCGGCATTGTGCTACGGCTGGCAACGGCCAAAGAGTGCAGCAGCTCGGAATGGCGGGTCCTTTGATCCTCCCTCGAGGAAGCCGCGCGCCGCCTAACGGGATTACCCCGCCCCAAGTAATTGCTCGTGAATGCGCAGATATACGGCGCGCGCGGGCGACAATGGGAGCACGTCGATTCGACGGTGACTGGTGACGTCTGACGTATGTACTGTGTATGTATGTGTGTCTCTGTATATCCATCGTGATTGTGTCGATGCGCCCAGTGACCTTCGAAGGAGATGATTCGGGGTGGGATAAGGGAATGTACTCTGCTCCTTGAGCGGTCTTAATGTTTTGTGTATGTACACGATTGGCCATTTGGGTGGAAGATTCCGTGGGAAATTGGAACGTCTTTGGGGATGATACATAAGCTGATAAACGGGGTAGGTACTGGGTGGGAATGTTAACGGACTGGGTCCTGGAAGAAGTTTGTAAGATTCTCATCCACCTTGTCGAAATAATGGATCGACGTTATTATGTAGGGCTGAGAATAATTAACACTAGAACTAACAGCTAGTGGGTTTTTATCTTTTGTTGCCATCTCTGATTTTAACGAAGATATATTTTACTAATGAAAAGGTATTTATGACATATTATATTGACGAATATTTATTGAAAAAGTAATATAACTGGATGACTACCACCTCATTCAGTAGCTTTTATATCGACTACTTGTTCCGTTCGGTATTAGTACCTTTTTTCGATACCCAGTTTCGGAACCGAAAGTATCAATACTAAAAATACTCGGTATCGAAACGAAAGTATCGATTATTTATTTGTATTTACTTGGATCATTCCTACACGTGTAACGAAGGCGTCTCGGCACCCGTTGTTATCACCCTGTCGATGCTTGGCACAAACAGATAGACGTACCCGCCCCGTCGCGGCGGGTACACTGATTGCGGACGGAGACCCCAACCGTCCCGGACCCAGGGCGTTTTCTCGCCCTCGAGCGTCCGAGGCTGCTCCCAATCAGAGACGAAAATCAAATTGTTTAACACAGCGGACACCAACTGCTATTTAGAGGTGGCATCTGTACCCCCTTCCGTACAATAAACAGGAACAAGATTCCATCGATTGGCCCGCGGTGCAAAGGAAAAGTATCGTGAATCCTATGATGAATTTGCTTTCGAAACTTGAATTCGATCGATGATCTTCGAATGTAACATTAATACAGTTGAAACCGAAAAGATGCTCAAGAAGAACAATCACGCATGGAACAACGCAAGCAGCACAAAATACTGAAAACATATCCATCCAATATTTAAAAAGAGATTCAATCTCATATTACAAAAAAAAATATTTCATCCAAATATAAAATAAACATTTAAATCTTCCACGGTTAATAATACGTCGACGTGATGTTTTTTTTCTCTATAATAATAAAAATTTCTTTTCGACCAGCTACATTTTTTTCCTGGATCACTGTGACGACCGGTCCAATTACGCGTTGTTCCATCCGGCTAGATGGAGACGATCAAACCGATACAGGCGCGGACGGATACCGTGCGTCGTCGCGACAGAAGGGATTTCCCGTAACGAGAGCATATAACGAGGCGAAATTAAGGGGCATTGTGCCTTAAACAGATTGCACACTCGTGCGGGAACGTGACCGTTGGCCGCGCTGCCCCCCCCCCCCCTCAACCGCCGTACAAACGCGCGAGGTCGGAGTAGAGACACCCGATAAGGCGGCAGAAGAGGCAGCGGAATCGTCGATGGAATCGGATGGCCCCAGGGGGAGGGAAACGTATACGGGAGCACTCAGACCCCGTGTTTGCCTACACGGAAATCCTCTCTAACGGATTCTAACGCTCGACCGGGCTTGTACTTTTTCATCTTCGATCCGACCGACCCGGGTTTTCTCTTGTAACTGGCTGAGACCTCGACTGGCTAGAGTTTGGAAGATTTGGCTTTTGTCGTTAGCTCCATGTTTAGAAAGTAATGTTTCTGGGTGGGGAGAGTGAATGAAAACTTTGGGAGCGACTGAAATGGAGCTAATGTAGCCGTACTTGGAAATAGGAATTGTCATATTTTGCTTCTAATCCTTGTGAAAGTGAAGATTTGCCTTTACACTGGCCGAATATAAGCTTACGGTCAGTCAACTGATCCAATGCTTTAGTCACTCTTGGAAATAGGAATTATCATATTTTGCTTCTAATCTTTGTGAAAGTGAAGATGTGCCTTTATACTAACCGAACTTGGACTCAGAATCAGTTAGCTGATTCAGTGGTTTATTCACTAGAGGAATTTTGAATTATTATATTTTGTTTCTGATGCTTGTGAAAGTGAAGATTTGCCTTTACATTAACCCAGGGGTCGGCAAACTACGGATCGCGAGCGACATACGGCTCTTTAGATCCATACATATGGGTCTGAAGTAAACTTGAAAATGAAAATAAAACCAAGGAAGGCAATTTTATGTGTGATATTTTCTCCATTTAATAAAGATATAATTAACAATATAACTTGTTATGGCTACTGCTAGTGTACGAAGTAATTGTACTAAAATTGAATATCGAGTCAATCTCGGTATAAAATAATCCGACAAGAGTTGACCCACAACCAACCAAAATTGAACAGTACGCTGGAGAGCTTCTTCGCGAAAGGTTGAAACGTCCCATCAAAATGGCCGCCGGCGATATGCCGCTTACGAAACCGAGTCCGTGTTTGCTCGCTCGAGCAAATTAACGGTGGACGTGACTGGTCAATTAACACGGAGGCGCTTTGATGTTGATACTCGGATCGGTCGGTTAATGGGGTGACATTATGGGGAGCGGGTGTTTGAGTTCTGGAAATGACGTTTTATTCAGAGATTGGGAAGGGGGGATTGGTTCGATTAAACCGATAGTGGTCTGTGGACTCGTTTGGGAATTGGTTTTCGGAATTTGTAACGGAGCCCATAGTTCGACGGTATTGGATTACAGAAACTTTGTTTGCCAGGATTGGGACTGTCTATTTTATAATAATAATAATTTACTTAACAAGGAAAAGCCTTTAGTATAAACAAATAATGGTAGTTACCAAAATTAGATTCAAAAAATGAAATAAACTGTGAATAGGAGATGATATTGTATTGATTCGAGATTCTTCTCCTTTTTTTCAGGATACGGAAGCAGCTTATCGAAGTCAGCACTGGACACGCACACCCACCTCAGGCAGCCTGGTATGTAGTAGGTAGATATTTTTTAGAAGTTAAAGCTCTTGTATTATTCGAAAATTCTTTCATGAGAACACTTATGACCTCTAATAGATCGGATATGGGAGGCTCCACTGTACTTTCATTGAAAGACCAAGTGGAATCATTCCCAGAAGCTCATTAATCATTTTCTAAAATTCTATTTAAATAAATGAAACTTAGTATCAGTAAAAGTGATTGTTCTATTATCCGAACATACTTCCATTGAATATATACTTCATTTGAATATATACTTCCATTGAAAGAAAAAAGGGGTGGTGGGGGTGGCAATCGTTCCCTGAAGCTCGCTAATCGTTTTCCACAAATAGGACTCGGATAATCGACGCACTGGGGACCTAACGTGTTAATCGTCACGCTGTTAGGTGCATAATGAAGGGGTATACAGGCGCGAGAAAGGCAGGAAAAAAAAAAGGAAAGAAATGATCACGTGGGCGCAACAGTAGCGGGGGCCAGTGACGCGTGAGCCAATCGACGGGTCGATTTTTCCAAAGCAATTGCACGGAATGACCTTCACGATTATTACGCTGGTGCGCTAATCACGCGAACGGTGGCCCTGCTGTCCCTCCCTCCTTCGAATACCGACATTTTTTTTTACCGACACGCCCGAAAATTACTCGTGCCCCGACGATCGATCGCTATAAACGAACGGCTACGTGCGCGCCCGTCCCCGTCATTATCGGTATTAAAAATTAGAATCGTGAAATCAGCGAGTTAATCTGATCCAACTAAAATTACGTGGCGTGTGATCGGGGGAGAGAATAAAGATGGAGATTTGGCCCAAGGTGCTGCTTATACTTGGACGGATTTTTGTTCACTGTAAACATTAAGTCGATAATTTCGTGGTTATACCTAGTGACGCTTAGAAACGTAACTATGAAGTTCTGAAATCGTCCCCATATTTTATACAGTTCTGTTATTTCTGATTGGGTGTACTAATATACAGGGTGTTAATAAAAATGTGGAACAAATTCACTAGGTTGATTCTGCATGTCAGACCAGGACAACTGTACTACACATTTAGTTACCTTCTGTGCTCTAGAATGGTACAGAAACTTTCTGATATCTTTCCAATTTCGATTCTTTATCCCAGACCAATATCGATTACCCTTCAATTCAGACGAATTCGAATTCTGATTTCCCTCGAAATAAAGCAGACCATTCGCTTCCCAAAGCGAAACGATATAAATTCCTACGGTGATTCGGACTAAGAATGACCGCGAACTGATTTTAAATAGTAACAGGGTCACCGATATTTTTCTGGTTCTACTTGCCGAAGAGAAAGGTCCAAGGGAAGAAGTTTTCGGAACCTTCTGACCCGGTATTTCTCTCGTCGATTCCGGGGTTCCCTAGTTTCGACGGATAAATGGACGTGCCGCGCCCCCTTTCCCATTATTAACTTGTAAGTGAATTACCGTTCGATCGAAAGACGATCGGCCCGCGCAACGCGTGTGCACGAATGGGGGGAATTCATCGGGCGAAACGACCTTTGAGGTCCAAGCGATTCACCCATCATACTGTGACCCTCCATCCGTCTCTTCCTCATAATCGCAAGGGGGGGGGGGACGTACATTTTCATGGAAGAACGTCTTGAGTTGTCTGAGGTTGAAACTCACCCCTCTGGTTCGCCGGACTTTCCCCGTTTCCGCTATTGTTCTTTACTCCTGGACGTTGCTACCCTGGTCACTTAACCCATTAAGGACCAAACGCAATGATACGATACGATTTTTACACGTTTTATTCTTTGCAATATTACATACACTGCTTGGCATAACTAGGTACAGCACCACAAAAAAAAATTTCAAGGCGCAGCCAGGGGGTGGGACACTTGCCAAAAAAATTGTATTTTACCCTCCCCTCCCACCCTTCCCAGAGTTACAAAATTTTTGCGTAATATTTAATATTGCAGTATAATTTGAAACACGACCAACAGCCTCTATTAACAAAAACGCACACATTTTCAACGATTTATGACTAAAAACAAAATAATGTGTGTCTGGCTACGTACTGCCTTTTTCACTGTGGCAATCGATGTGTTAATATTTTTGCTCCCCCTAAATACACGCAGTGTATTACGAAGAAGGAACTGCGACGAACGAGGAAACAGGAGTACCCAAAGTCTGGAAGATTCGTATAGTTTTACGTTGGCCCGAGACCATTTTCAAAATCGTCGGCAATCTTCAAGAACGTCACGGGAAATGGCAATTTCTGTTTAGGCCGATTATCGAGATTAAACGATTCCAGGGCCACGAAATTGCCCGGAATTATCACGCACCGCTTTCGTTCCCGCGCGCGATAACCGAGGAAATCGCGAGAAATCGCGTTTCCCGTGCGCACGGTTTCTCCCCGTCGAGGAAAAGGGAAACGAAGAAACAACAATCCGTGACAAGCTGAAATTTTTCTTCCTTCGGCCGAATAGAAGGCGTAATTCCTTTTTGTTTCTCCTCCGTTCCTTCTACTCGTCGTTCCCCCCCCCCCCTACGGGAGAGCATATACCTATCCATTACACGGTTGTTTCCCAGTCCTCCCCGTATCGCCCTTTAAAAGCCTTACAATGCGTCATCACCGTCGTTTCGCTACTGCTCAGACCTGGAGTGCCCTACAGCCGTACAAAAGGATATAATCGCAACCCTACAATAGAATAGAGTTCGTTTGGATCATAATAATTTCAATTGGAAGGAACGGGAACGACGGAGTGGTTCAAAGGGCGTACGCGCAATGTCTTCCATGAGGGAAAGGGGGGAGAGGGCACGCTCGCGGAACCGAGCATCGAGGTTTCAGCTCAGCGAGCCTGTTCCAAATTGCGAACACCCCCCCCCCCAACTCCCCCGCAGTCGAAAAGCATCGAGAGACCTGATTTTCACGATGCTCGAGGGAACGTTATTCGATGACAATTCTATGAAACGTATGAAATGACACGAATTATTCCTGCACTCAATAGTTCGAAGTCCAGAAATTAGTGACAATGCGTAGAAAATACTTTTTTAACGCTAACCGTACCGACCGCCCATCAAATGATCGGTTTTAAATTCGGTACAAATAGGTATATAAAAGTCTCGGTACGGTTAGTGTTGAAAACGACGAGAAAACACGCAAAAGCGGCAGGGACAGTAGACATAACCTTGTTTATGTGCAGGTCTTTGTCATTTCTAACAGAGTTCAATACGAAATGAAGATTCTTTAAAAGAAATTTCGTACCCAGATAGCACATGACGCTTCGAAGACGGCTTAAAGACGCCTTAAACCTAAAATAGCCATAAAACAGGCGTTTTTAAGGCGTCATGTGCTATCTGGGTATGAAAGGCTTTCGGCCAAGATATGCAGAATCTGAACCAATAAACTGTCTTATTGAAAGAAGAGTTTTGGGTAGATTCGACAGAAAGTTTGGTTAATTGGTTTATTTATAGAGAATATGGGAGGGGGTGTGGTATGTCAAAGACAACTTGACCTGATACGAGGCCGATGTTTCGATGATATTTTCAGATCCGTACCAAATGTTCGGAGCGACGAGCAGTCGCCTCGCAAGCTCCGGTTCCGGTCAGATTCAGCTTTGGCAGTTTTTGCTCGAGCTACTCTCGGACTCGAGCAACGCCGCGTGCATCACGTGGGAGGGAACCAACGGCGAATTCAAGTTGACTGACCCGGACGAGGTGGCGAGACGCTGGGGCGAAAGGAAATCCAAGCCTAACATGAATTACGACAAATTGTCCAGGGCTTTGAGGTGAGTGACGTCTCTGATGAACCTCGAACCTGTATCCTAAATATCCCCTCCGATCGCATAGTAGTATTTAGTAACTGTACCATAGGCGCAGCATCGATTTAACAGCATAGGCTGTGGATTTCAAACATTTGCAGCGTACAGGATTGTTTAAAAATTCAGTCGATTGGATATACACAACAAATCGACATCATCGATCCACGTACACTCTGTGAGCGACAACCGAAACAGGAACCACCAGAATATTTACTACTGAATCGAAATGATTGCTTTATCAGTAGACGATGATGAGAACAATCAGAAAACGAGGTACTAGACTCACGAATCCTCGTACAATTCGTAAAACATACCTGTCAGTTGCATACAACGACAATCAAATTAGTCTACACGCGACATCCGAAGATTTTGAGGTTAGGTTGACCCTGTTCCACCCCATGATCACTGTCAAGCTAGCGAGAGTCTTAATAACACCATCCAGTATACAAGCATACAACATCGAACTGTTTACTCGTATACCTCCGAAATCTGAGAAACTAACCTCAAACACGTTCGAATCGCGCCAAACAACCTTGCTCTCCACCTCCTGACAAAAACTCGAGGCAAAAAGGGGGGCGACAGAAAAGAGAGCAAGGAGACGAGAAATCCATCAAACGCGAACATTTAATGGGTAAACGTCCGTATCGGAGAGAAAGTAAATTCGTTCGACTGCGCGCAGCCATCCCAGCCGGGTCGGAGAAGGGGTGGGAATGGGGTGGAGGGGGTGGGACGTAGGCAAGGGGGAGAGAAATTTCAATCACCGAGAGTCAGACCGACGGCAGACGCGGCTATTATTTTTCGATCAGATCGACTGATTATATTACGCGACTGCTCGACCCCTCCCCCCTCCTACCTTCCTTCAGCCGCCCCCGCAACCGTGCGCGATCGCTCGCCGCGAGAAGTTTTCCAACGGAGCCGCCGCGGAACCGTAAACATTCACGACGAGAAAAAAATCCTCCAGGGGGTTCACCCGTCGCGCCGCGGAAGCGGCGTCGTTATCAGGCGCTGGCAAATGGAATTTATTAAATAAGACTCCACGAGCGACGACCAACCACCGTGCACGCGCGCCTTTACGACCAAACCCGGCCATTTCGCGCGGTCGCCTTCGTAAATCGCGACTTTTATGGCGGAACGCGTCCGCGGTGTGGCTCGATCGTATCTCACACGAAACTGGGCCGGGGGTGCGGGTGTAGAGAAGAAAAAAGTTAGAAAATCAAGGAACACCGGGTTCCACTCAGCCCCGGATCAGTGCAACATTCATAAAATCATATCTAATACCCTCTATAAACACGCTACCAGACTCAACCGAAGTGACTATAGAGAGGGAATGCACATAGGATAATGCTATCATAAACGATATATGTTAAAAAAAAATGTGAAAATACAACTCTCTAATCGGTGTAACATTCACGAAATTATATCTAATGCTCTCTATAACGACGTAATCAGACTAAATTGAAGTGACTATAGAGGGAGTATGTACACTGACGTGCAAACTCTGCTTCCTCTAGGGGAAAAAAACAATCTAGGGGTTAGGGCCTCCTACTGGTTGATAAATTTATTTCAAATAGTGAAATAAATGTTAAACCGAATGTTAATTTCGCATAATTATCAATAACTCCGAGACCAAGTGGTAGGAGGTCTTTCCCTTACATCACCTTTTCCCCTAGCGGAAGCCGAGCTTGCTCGCAAGGGTACAGTGGATAATGCTGTTAGTAGCTAGACGGCGGACGCTCTAAGAACTCGCATATAGGGATTAAGCAGTCAAGATATAATGTTATTAATTATTTACTTCAAATACTTCGACTGTATATGGTAATGATATGTTTCGGTAAACTTCCGAACGGCATTACCCTGACCTTGACATATATTATCAAGGTCATCATCCATACCCTGAATCCAATTGAATTTACCCCGGCAGCAAACGAGGATCCGTCTTCTCTGTTTTCCAGGTACTATTACGACAAGAACATCATGACGAAGGTGCACGGGAAAAGGTACGCGTACAAGTTCGACTTCCAGGGTCTGGCCGCGGCAACGCAGCCAGCGGCGGCGGACCCGGCCGCGTACAAATACCAAAGCGAGCTGTTTATGTCCGGTTACGGTCACGCGAAGCTGAATCTAATGCCGCCACCGGCCGCCTCGGTCTCGGTGTCCGTACCCGGTGGACTGTTCCAATCGGCGTCCAGCTACTGGTCGACGAGTCCCGGCGCGAACCTGTACGCTGGCCACCACACGGCGTCCGGCCATGTGCCGCCCCATCTGGGCACCTATCCGCATTACGCATGACCCACCGCCGAGCATTGGGGCGCACTGGGCACGCCGCGTTAACGTGTGTTTCTTACCAAGGAAGAATTAAGTGACCGTGTCGCGTCGTCGCCGCGACTGGTCAGAATACGCGTACCGTCGGCCTGCACCACGGACGGCTCTGAACCCCCATCGTCTGTGCCTACTTTGGCACAAAAAGATCCTTTGCTGTCCGACTGCAGTAGTGGAGTCGGAGCCTAACCTAGCCGGTTAGCTTCTGGTCAGCCATCTATCCCCACTCTGCCCCTCTTGTCTGTGGCGCCACGACGGTCGCCGCGCGAACTTATAGGTTGACTAATCGAATTTCGTTGTTGGCACAGTCTCCTGAGGTCGGAAGACTCTTCACACCTTTTGGGCCCCGTTTGTTTTGTTGAAATTTGAGGTGGTTGGGAACTAGCAAGTCGCACTGTGGCCACAGTAGGTATGTACAGTAAACGTTGGATTATTGTCCGAGAATTGGGACCGATGTGTCGAGGGGAATCCCGTCTCATTGGTGGGGATGAACATCGGGTGCTTGCGCTGTAAATCGTCTTGGACAGTAATCGAACTTTGACTGTACTTATGGTTTTGGGTGCTGAAGTATAAGAATTGAGCGGAATAAACGGTGTGAAGGGTTTTGGGCCTCACTGGGGACCTAAATATTATTTAGACTCTGATTTGGATCAATTGTTCAATGTCATTGGCTATTTAAACACAGAAATCGACTCCTATACTGATATTTTCTTGTGTTCTAAATATATCCGAATGTCATTTTGGATTTTCTATCTGGAAAGCGTCTTTCTATAGACGACTGTCCTGCCGTCTGTTTGGACAGAGTGGGGAAAGTAACTGGGCCAGAGGGGAGGAGCTCTGAGAACTGGAGTGGGGGAAGTACCTCTAAAGCTCATTCAGGAGACCACCAGTAGCCGCAACGCGACATGTATTTCGCTGCTCGTGATATTCGAGAAACGCATCGATCAACGTGATTGGTTCTTATATCACGGGACGCGACGATCGCTCGATCCGCTTGTGGAAACGGTTTTTCACAGCGTGGAAATTGTTCCGAAGAAAAAAATCACGCCGTTCAAGGCCGACGGTGCGCCCGAATTATTGTAAGAACGTTGTACATACAATATAATGGATTACGTAAGTACAGGGTCGCGCGTTCGCCAGGACGATTCTCGACACTTCAGTTCGTCCAAGATTTCAGGGAAACGTTCGTGAGAAAAACAGTATACATGAAATATCGAATATTTTTAAAACCTGGTTCTCAGTTTATGGTTTAACATTGAGCATCAAAATGTGAAAATTTAAAAAGTAACTAAAACCAAACGGCTCGATTTCGATGAAAATTTATTTAAGAATATCATATATATTAAGAAGTACATTTCAGAAACATGTTTTCGAAATATTTCATGTTTCGAGAGTATACACGCGAAATATCGCCTTCGAGTGAAAACGCGCCTTTAAGCCATCGGGAACTCTAGATTTTTCGAATCTTCGATATCGAGATTTCATGAAAACGGACTGTCGAGTGTCGTGTACGAGTTTCTCAGCAATTTTTTTTTTTATATTCGAACATGGATGAATCGTATGTCGAGAACGATTCTGTCTCAACGGAACGTCGTCCTGTGCGGGAATAAGAAACCAGACGATGCTCGGAATCGAGAAACGCCAGGGGTATTCCCAACCGGATGGAATCGAGCATGCGCATTTTTAAGGGTAGTATCCATTAACGGCGAGGCGGTTTTATACTTCGAATAACCAATGAACGAGCGAAACGTATCGAGGAATCGACTCGAATATCGATTCGTGATGTACAGGTAGACTCGACGCTTTCACGATCGATGGTTTCCATGAAATCCCTGAACCTTAAGGCTACTTCTCATCTGTATACTTACAACTGAAATTTAAATCGAAAACAAACATGAAAATACAAAAAATACGTCGTCGATCTCGAAGTTTAAATTTAAAAAAAAAAACGATCGTAAACATTACATCGATCACAAAAGTGTCGAGTCAGTCGCGCCCACGACACACGCCCAATCGACGACGTGTGGACGCTTGGAAATGTGTTGGCATGCTCGATTCGGGCCAAGAGTAATGCGTGTATTATAAACTCTTTTAACTTATTTGTTACATAACGATGTATAGATAGAGGAACCGCATATCACCGTTCGTGAAAAAAAAAAAACAATCATTCTTAAGAATCGAGAATCGGCGCGCTCTGTTTCTTTTCGTTTTATTCGCGATCCCCCCTTCGACCAATCGAGACGGTAATGATTTTACACAACGAATTCACGAGGTTATAGTGGTACGGTGCCCTAGCAAGGAATAATAGACAACTAAAAATTTTATACTATTTGTTAGATTTATTTAGAGCCACCTAAGAACCACGAAGTTTTTAATAATTATTTAGTAACGGTGAGATCGACCCAATCCAACCCCAATGATCCATCCCGACGAATGCTCGAGTCGCACCAATCGAAATCGAAAAAGTACAACGTCGAGTCATATCAGAAACCGTTCAAACTCAGCCTCCCCCCACCCCCGCGCGAGATGCGGTCGCTCTATCTATGTGGGTTGAAACTTAGAGATGTTCGATTCTCTTCAAAGAATCGATTCTCAGAACAATTTTGAATCGAATCATGGAGAATCGATTCCCTCAAAAATCTAATACAAAGAAACGATTTTTTAAAAATCGATTCAAAAATCATAATAAATTTCATATTAGATTAATTCTTGATTTCAAGGTATATTTTCCATGATGTATATATATATATATATTCTCTTATATGTGCCAGACATAGATGTGTAATTTTATAAATTTTAAATTCTATAAATGTTAACGTCTATAATGCTAAACGAGTTTCTTATAGCATCATTATATTCAATTGCTTTGCATTCATGGATCTGACATAAGGAGAATATACGTATGATTAAATAATCAAGTAAAAAATTTTCGAAACATTTGATTGTAAAAATAAAGTATTTATTTCCTATTGCCTTCCGTATGAACACCAGCGATCTCGAAGCTAAAACGAAAATTGATCATGAATATGGTGTACTATTCAGAAGTTTATAAAAAAATTTTTGAAAGCTTACTAGTTTTTGTTATAGAGCTCTCCGATATTTGCGATATTCTCGCAAAAATCGAATAGCAGAGAATCGATTCAAAAAATCGACTTTTTTAAGTGAAAGAATCGTTTTTTTAAAGAATCGAATCGGAATCGAACATCCCTAGGTGAAACACGGCGGGTCGGGTCGGCCAGAACGAGGACGCGAAAGTGTCCGTCCAATGGAGCTACCCGACGGGTGACCCAGTCCGCCGCGTGGAAAAGGTGTTGTACCTCTGTCGAAGAAGCGTGTAACTCCTTTCAAGCCGTATACTGTATCATAACATTCGTAAGACCTAAGCATCCCTAGAATTACAACTAACGATTAGCGTAAACCAAAAAAAAATCCCCTCGAGCGGTCCGTGGAACCAACCCACCCGACGGGTCGTTGAAGGTAGCGATGGGTGTTCGAATTTCTTTTAGCCCTGTCCAGGATATTCGGAAGATCGTGTTCGAAGACAGTGACAGTGCTTGAAATTCTGAAGCTGGCCATTAGTTTGACGTTTACCGTTAAACTTCCATAGACAGACACCTTACCACCGCCTTACGTTAAGCAAAAATGCTCATCTTTTAGCAGATAGGCTAGAACAATAACACCAAATATCTCACAAACTAAACCCCTATATGCGACTGGAACAAATCCCACTGGCTTCAGAATTCCAAGCAATCTCTGTTAATCCTAATTAAAAAGTCAATCTCAACACCTGGGTACCTCTGTTAATCCAAACTTTGGACAGACTCCAAAGAACTTAGAGTCTACAAAGTGATCTGGGGCGCGTAGCCCATCGCTGAACGGTAATCCCTGGTTCGAGCCTGATTTTCCAAGCTGGTTCCACGGAACGTGGAGGGGCTCTAATTGTAGATAGGGTGTTTTCATGTGTAGCGTAGGCGTGTAGAGGACACATAGTCTTATAGCGCGAGAGAGTGTGTTCCCGTGCGCGCGATAACGGGATGGAGCAAGGATCGTATGTGTGTGCCTGTGAAATGTGTGTACATGTGTGTGTGTGTGGGCATGATTCTCGAAACTGTGTACGGGAATGATAATAATAAAGATGATGATGGTGATGATGATGATGATGATGATGATGATGATGACGATGATGATGAATGCAAGAGAGAGAACGGACGACGGGGTGTTTGGCACTAGCATAGACCGCGTTAGGCTAGGTAGATAAGCGACCCCTTCGGGCAAGAGGAGAAGGAATTTTCGTCGGATATGTCGGAGGGACACGACCAGAGAGCCACCATCGCGGAAACATCGGAGGGGAGAAGGGGGAGGGGAATGGAGGAGAGGACCGAAGAACACGTTGGACGTTCTGGGGACACAGCAGTCGGGCGCAAAGGGGTGGGGGGGGAGGGGAAGGGGCGCTGTTGTTGTTCTTGTTGTCGTGCGCTTGTATTAAAGTCGCCATGTTCTAATTAAACGTGCCGACGGGGTTGTATCAGTCGTCGGCAAAATCAATGTGGCTCTCGCCTCCTGCTGTATCTGTGGCACGTGTGCGCCGTCCTACGCGACGAGATCGCGGGAACGAGGTAAATATACATATATATTTACACACTACCGTTCGAAAGTTTGAAAGCAATCTTGTTTGTTTTTTGTTTTGTTTACGATAAACGAATCATACTTTGTGAAACTTGTGTGCCTGTGAAAACAGTTTATCGGATATTTTGATTGGTCTGCAGGGAAAAAATCATTTCGAAAAAATATATTACCGAAAATTAATGAGGCTTATCGGTAAAGTAAGAGATATTATTGGTCCTTTGTCTTATTCATTTGAAGAAATTCAAGTGTTCAGCATTGTTACAGATACAACATGAAACTTACGAAACTGTACTTTCTTTCAAATATGTCAATAGGGTTTACTGATCGAAGGTAAGAAAAATTGGGTTTTATTATAAATGATAACGTTATAATGAGACTTATTATTATATATGTAACTGTGATAAAAGTAAAAATGTTGTCAAATGACAACTAATGGAATATGGCATTAGACGGTTTCGAAATGTTATAATGTTCTTGTGAATCATTTATATATCATCTAATATATACAAAGGTGCAATGAAATATTTCTTTGCTAATTTTTAAATACTTTGGAAATGAAAAGGCTAATCACATTTCTCAAAGAATTCTTTATTTTGTCGTATTCTGCTTGTGCGTGCGTGTTCTGTTATTTGTGTGTATGTGTACGTGTATCACACAATTGAGGGAGTATTTTAAAGCAGAATGGAAACACTTATAGATAAAGAATATTTTAAGAAATTAATAAATAGTATTCCCAGAATTTGATTGGAAGTTATTTAAAATAAAGGTGGCTCATTTTGATGAGGGAAAAATTTGATGAAGATAAGTTTTTTTCGTTACTAACGAAATTTTGAAATTATGAAATTTCGTTGATTTTGTTATGTTACAATAAGTAGACATAAACATAAAAGCCTTTGTAATAAAAAAAATCTGTAACTTGACATTTCAAGATTGTACTTAACTGCTTTCAAACTTTTGAACAGTAGTGTACACACGCTATCATCCGTAAATATTTAGACGCTGATATCGAAACGCGTCGATTAATATACTGACACATTCTCGAGGAAACTATGAAACACATGTGGAATTGCCGAAGTTATGCACTACTGCTCATAAGTATTGGGACACCTGGTCTGTATAAAGAAAATATGATGTTTTCGTAAAAATGACATACGTTAGGCCTCACATAGTGCTACTATGAAATAATAAACACCCTAAACAAAATTTATTTCAGACTGTCAATAATATCGTAATGCTTCGTATCATTTATTGCATATTCGATAAGTGTTTCAATACTTATGAACGGGAGTGTACATCGGAACAAGACCACTACATCTGTACCCCACATCCAGAGTGTGGTTAAGTCTACATTTTTTCCAAAAAACCATGCCATTTCACATATTTCCCGTATCAAATTTTGCACAAAATTAAATAGACTCCCGAGAAGTTATCCAAATGCTCGAGGTCACCCTGTAGCGTCTGTACGCGCGACAGAGTTTGCGCTGAGGGTGGTTGGAGTAGACGGAAGCCTGGTAATACCTGTTCCCTGTCTCTCCCGCTTCGTCCAGGGTAAACGAAACCCAGAAAAATCGGAGACAAAGGGAAAGGAACCAGACACAAAAGGACAGAGGGGGGGGGCTGCCTGGGGACGCGCAGTGGGCCAGGGATGAGAGGCTTCTGGAGGGGTTGGAATATAAAAAAAATCACGAAGAGAGGGGGAGAGACAGAGGGATGGAAGGTTGAAAGGAGGAAAGATAAGCAACACACGGTAGGTCAAGCCTTGGTTGTCGGTGGTTGGCGAATTGGTCGGGTTGCCATGGAGAACGGCCGAGGTATTCCCCAGGATTACGGTACCGCCCCAACGGGAAACCCCCATTCGGGAAATTCGTGGCGTCGCCGAAGCTGCCCGCGACGCCGGAGGTTTAGCCCCGACTCGGGGGCTAATCGATTCTGCTACCAATCAGCGCCCGCGCACGCCACCGTCCCTCCCTCGTCCTCCGTTGATGTTCACCCGCCACGACTCTACTACCCTCTTGCAACAACCCCTTTCACCGCGCTGCGTCCCTTGTCTTTATCACCTTGCCCCCTCCCCCACCTTCCCCACCTACACGTGTCCTTCACGCTACCACTTACCTAGACCAGGCGAACCGTCTGATCCTCCGTGTACGGTTATTACCACCGGATAGGAGTTCGGTCTTGATAGAGGGAACGGAGAGAGGGGAGGCTGAGTACCGGCCAATCGACGCGCTTTAACCCCTTTCTACGGTCTTTCCTTTGTTTAAGGGGAAAGTGGCTGTGGGAGAGGGGGGTTGGTAACAGTCGAAGAGTAATTAAAAGAGATCGCCTTTTACTCCAGACTGTTTCGTTTTCGCTTCTTTGGGGAGGATCGTTTTTGGGGATGATGCGACAGAACCCTCGACGGGGATCCACTGGTTTTCCGGGACGGCGACCGAGGGTGAGTTGCGGGAAACGGTGAGTACTGGGAGATTATATTTCGTTGATTCGTCGCCGCGTAACTTCCGGCGGGGAACGGGATATTTGATGGATTTTCTTGGTTAACGTCGGCGGTGGGAGTATGGAATTTAAGTGTTTTAAGGGTAGTTGGTGCGATTGGTAAGAATTGAAGGATATACAGGGTGAGTCGGGGTAAGTGTACCACTGAAATTTACTCATAGACTACTTGTTGGGTAAAAAAAAATGTTTTAACCTTCAGTCTGTGCATTGGGGTAATTTGGGAAAATCTAATTTATTCTCTCTTAACACGTTGACTACCACAGTGAAAAATACTGTACGTAGTTAGCCACATTTTCTTTTGTTTGTTTTTTGGAATCATACATCATCGAAAATATATGCGTTTAGTTAATAGAGGCTGTTCGTCATGTTTTACATTATACTGCGATAGTAATTTTACGCAAAATTTTGTGACGTTATTTAAATAATGAAGCCTCTTTGCAATACAGGTGTCGCCTGTATTTGGATGACGTGGTAGTCAAAGTGTTAATAGAAATTCTTTTGACAAATTAAGCGCCATTTATGTCCCAATGAATACAATTCATTCTGGACTAATGAGCCACCTCTATTAGTTTCGATACTGTGTCCTTCATTCTTATAATAATAATATTTTTATCATTTTCATTACATGATGGTGCATAATGTGTTAATCACACAGGTTAAGAAGAAATTCGTGAGACAACAGGGATAATTGTTCATGAAAACATAAACGAAAGGTCTACAAGATTGGAATTTAGGACTTTGTTTTAAAAAACCTACAACTTTCAAATCTGCCACGCATTTTTTCCGGTCACGTGACCAAGCAGTTTCACTGTACTTTGAAAAGTTGTTAAGAATCTTAAAAAGCAAGAATTCGATTTATTTCCCGAATCCAATACCATCATTCAAAATATAATTCACGTGAACATGTTTATATTATTGCCTGTCATTATGTTATGAGTTATTAGACAAACGTTTCAATATGATAGCAAAGTTATTACGTACCTAAGCTTTGAAGTAAGATGACGGTTGCTCGTAGACCCACTTTTTACTTTTCCGCGAAAATTCCAAAAAGATATCTTCTATCTTACACAACTCACTTCCTTAGGAAAACAACGTGTTTAATTACAATATTTAACTAATGGAACGTGATAAAATCAAATAAATTTTTGTAAATCTATCAACAAACACTTAAGTGATCACACCGCACGCCCGTTTCACCCGTTTCAAATCTACGAAGCAATCGAGATGGCGTAACCGTCTTGTCACCTGAGAAGAACACTTGAACATCAAATGTTCTAGTCGCGTTACATTTTTTTTTTCAAATGTTGGCAGCTCTGAATGAAACGCTCTTTTCAAAGTTTTCTAAACGAGACTTTTACATTGCTTGGTAGGGAAAGGGCCTCCTGCTATTTGGTATCGAGAATTATTAAAATATATGTCAAATTAACATTCGATTAAACATTTATTTTCGCACTTGAAATCAATTTACCAAGTGGTAAGAGGCCTTCTTTTGCGTCATTTTTTTCCCTAGCGGAAGCCGAGTTTGCTCGTGAGGAACTCCAAAGCCGGCCGGCTTACAAGGAAACATAAGGAAATGTAAAATACCGTTCGAAGTGAAAGGTGAACCACACGTTTCTACGGAAAAGATTTTGGCAAATTTTCGATCATCAAATCAACCATCATGAGTTCCAAACATTTGGCAGCCGGTAAGTGATATTATTACGAAATCTGGAATTAATGTAAATGCAAAACAATTCTTTTAATAATGCCCATTCTCCAGGATCTGTTGCTCAGCCTATCGTGCCTGGCAAGATACGTTTGTACAGCATGCGATTTTGTCCATATGCGCAAAGGATTCATTTAGTGCTTGACGCGAAAAACATTCCGTATGTCCTTGAAAATTATATCTAAATTATTTCTATGTATTCTATAAAATTTTTACTAGCTCCATATCGAATAATTGCCCTATGCGCATTTCGTACTTACAATTGACTTCTTTTTTTATTGAACATTTTATGATCACAGATATGATGTTGTTTATATAAACCTAATAAGTAAACCCGATTGGTTCTTGGAGAAAAGTTGTTTCGGTAAAGTTCCCTGTGTAGAGTTGGAAGAAGGAGAAACATTATACGAGAGTCTTGTCATTGCTGAATATTTGGATGAAGCATATCCACAAAATAAACTTTATCCAAACAATCCTTTGGCAAAAGCTAGGGACAAGTTACTGATTGATAGATTCAATTCTGTTATAAATACTATGTATAAGGTATATATTATTTAACGTATAATTTCTATAACATCCTTTATAACATACAGTAAACATCCGGTTATTTCAGTTGTATCTAAATATACCTACAGAACGTGATGTATTTGAGGAAGCACTAGCTGGTCTAGAAGTATTCGAAAAAGAACTTGCAACGAGAGCAACACCTTTTTTCAGTGGTAACTCTCCTGGAATGTTGGACTTTATGATTTGGCCATGGTGGGAAAGGTCAGATGTAATGAAAGTTTTACGAGGAGAACAATTTGTTATGCCCCGTGATCGTTTTAAGAAATTGGTATGTTGAAATTTCATTTGAAAACGTTAGTATAAAGTTGTTACATACAAATAATAACTGGTTATTTACAATTTCAGTTGGAATGGAAATCTGGCATGAAAAAAAATTCTGCAGTCAAAAACTCTTACTTGGATACTGAAGTACATGCCAAGTTCATGCAAAGTCGTCTTGCTGGAATACCACAATATGATTTAGTTGCTTAATCTAATGAGTTGTGTTCTTATCGTGAACACAGTACACTCTGTTATTGAAAACCGTTAATTCTAATGTTACCAGTGGTCCAACATATAACATTCTTTAAATGTACAGGAGTGTTCATTACAAGATTAATACAGAGAATATATATCTTCTTTTTGTGCAATACAATCTTTATGTTAAAAAAGAGCATTATATTTATATGAACAAACAAAAGAAATACATTATTTTTATCGTAAAAAAATGGTATCTCAAAGTTTATTGTTATTAACTGTACATAGCACCGTACCATTTAACTCTAAGTCAAACCCTATAAAAAACTGCTCCATTAAAATCAAGCCACCTGCTTAATTCATTTATGTATTTACTTCATTATAACATCATTTGGTTCAATGACTATAATTATAGAGTATATCTGAATCCCAGAGCCAGTGTATTAAGTCCACTTTTAAAAAAAAATTGAGCATAGGATTATTAATATATACTGGTACATATTATTATAAATATCTGATAAGATTATAACATCAGATTAATATAAAATTCTTGCAATATACAATAAAGATTGTTAAACTATAACTTTCCATAAACCATTAGGTATAATCCATAGAGTAAAAAACACGCGAAAACCAAGCTTCCTGCTACCATGAACGACTTTGTGTTTTCTTTTCTTAGGCTTTGTAATTTTTCTTCATTCTTCTTAAGTACATTCTTAACTTCTTCTAGCTCAGTCTCTAGCTGCTCACGCTTTGCCAGTATCAGCAGATTCGTCTTCAATCTTTTCTCTAATACATTAACTCTATACAAAGAGTCTTTCAAAGCGTCCTCCACATTTTGGACCTAAGGCGTGTAAAATTGACAACGTCAGAAATCATGAAACGAGGTTAAGACAAGATGCTTTATATCAAATAAAATGCGGCCGAAATTATGATTTTTACGTGTACCTTTGTCATAATTGTTTCTTCTGGCGTCATTTTTCCTAGGAATACCTCTACCGTTCCGTTATACTAAACAAAAAAATCTAACAACATTTCGAGTAAATGTTCTAACACTTCAAAGTGTCGGATAAGATGCCCAACACACAAGTTGTTTCTGCGTTGAGAGACAATAAAATACAATGCTATACTTTATCTATTTATTTAAATATTTAATATAAAATTTAAAATATATAAACATAAACATATGTATAAATTCCAAACAATATACGTCATATAAGATATACACGATAAATAAATATGTATGTCGGGACTTGATTGTAGTGTTGCGCGTTAATTTTGAATATTGAAGTTTGTTAATAATTTATTGATTCTTTCAGATGATCAGTTTTGATGTTTAATTTATCGATCCTAAGTTTTGTAAATAACTTTATTAATAAATTTATCGTTGAGTTCAGCCGTGTGTACTTTTATTTATAAATCATCAACATCTCACACACAGGGGGTCTCTTCAGCATGCTTCGGGGGCTCCGTAACCCCACATTCTCAGCCCACGTGCTCAAAGGCGCCTCCACCGGGACCTCCGTGCAGCGTCTATGACGCCTCAACCGGGGCTCCGTGACCCCACGCTCTCACCGCGCAAGGTCTATGGCGCCTCCACCGGGGGCTCCGCGACCCCACGGTTTCTCCCCAAGTGATCAATGGCGCCTCCACCGGGGGCTCCGTGACCCCACGCTCTCACCCCACGTGATCAATGGCGCCTCCACCGGGGCCTCCGTGACCTCACGTTCTCACTAGAGATGATGTGAACTACAGTAAAATCATATTGAATACGTTTTTCTGTTTAAAGATTAATGACTTACGATTGCAGTGAGCAAATTCACTCAAGATAAAAAAATCGCAATCACGGTCGTGAATAAAGTTAAATCACAATCGTGATCGTGATTCGGCGATCACTGTGATAAATCACCGTTAATGATTTTGCACGCCATCTCTATAAGATACACGTATTCTTGAAGCGCTGGCAAATACAAAATGGCGATATAATCTGTACACTGACAAATACTTGATTCTTACATTATGGTAATAGAATGTAACATTGCTTACCATTACATTTAATTAATAGTTGAATATGATATTGTACTAAAAACAATCGTTTTAATTAAACGTTTTTCTCGGAACTGGACTAATGCCGTAACAACGCTGTTGTAAACAAACGCTAAAAAAGTAATTGGAAAATATTAAACTTTAGGAAAATTGTCAGTAATTAAAGCGATTTTTTTTCTTAATATCAAATTTAATTTCCATAAGATTAAAATGTTATGAATTATACTATAGTTTTACAAAATTACATTTGTCATAAAATTATATGTATATTAAATTCAATACTTCTCTTTGACAGAATTCATAACATAAAACTAAACGCTTCGCAGTTATACATATAACGATAATGTTTAACAACATATGTACATCTTAGAATAAATGTTGGTATAATTATAGCTACTGATAAGCACAAAGTGGAACGATGATGTAAATACAAGGATTAGAGATTAAAAGTGCGAATGAATTGTATAAGTACTACTTAAAAAAGGATTTAATTTTTAGTGCACGTCATATTATATATAGAACAGAAGTCTTTTTTTTTTTGCCGTTTCACTCGTCATCTCATACATACATGTATTTATAGTAATTTTTGTTAACTTAAATAAAATTACTCCACTTGCTCACTTATGTTAGTTTCTCTTTCACATATAGATAAAATTAAATCTGAAATGCAAGATAAAGTATAATTTAAAAAAAAAAGACATGAATAGGTACACTATACAAGTAATAGAGAACGTTTTTATTACCTGCACAGTGACTGTGGTAAGGAGGAAATGATGGGACCGTATCCTTGTGAATTATCATACAACTCGAATAATGGTGCGGCGACTAGTTTATAATTTTTTGGTACTGCGAATAAAGCTAAAAAAAATAAAATGAAATTTACACTATTAATCCATCATTTTTCGACTAAGGTGAAGTATTTCTGAGTGCAAAATATACCTTTCTCTTGTAACTGAACCAGAAATAGCCTTTTGTGTTCTTTCGGCTTGGTGATATGTGGCGGTACATACGGATATTGAGGTGGTTCAAAGTTAGGTCTCCACCAGTTTCCAATGGTATCTTCTATCACCCATTCTTGTTTGACTCCATCTTGACGTCCAAATGTCTAAAAAGTATTTGAATATTAAATTATTTATTACTTTAACCATACTACACTTTCATGTATGTTTGATGTACGCGTTTAAAATACATTCTTCTTCGTTCAGTCCACTAAGAACATGGTTACACAATTTTTTTTTACATTTAGAACGACTGTATAATCTTATTCAGCGTGTTAACATTTAACCTCATTAACGATTCCCTAATATGTTCCTGTAACTTTTGTACAATCCAGTAGTATCGGTCAAAAATATTCCTTAAAATACTTTCGGCTTTTCTCGCTTACAGATACCTAATTGAATGAAACAGCTGTTGTACATAAATGCATCGTTTTAATAAGAAAATTTGACAAATCCATAAGAATCTGGAAACTACCTATTGATTATACAAGTAAAAACCATAGTTCTGCATGTTTTAATTGGTAAATTTCTACTAAGAATTTTTCGAATTATACGTCACCTAATACAATTTTCCCTTTCGTTATTTCTTTTCGCGGATCACAATAAAAAAGTTAGTAACAATATCTGTTCAGTACAATCTTCTTGTTATAACATTACAATCTTCGTGGCTTGCCTCTATCATGTTTGAACGGACACATAATATAATGATCTAAATAAGAACAATGTTCTTAGCTAACCATGATCCTTATATAACGTAACAAGTTACAATTTTTATGACTACGAACATTGAAGTGTCCGGGCATGCAGCACACTAAATGTGTAAAATCCTAATATAATTAATTACAGGGTCCCTATTTTGAGCTACAGGCCCGGTTACATAAGTTCTACAAACATTTTCAGGATTTGTATAGTAGGTAGATAGACAGTGTTACAATCTAACATATCAAAATGCCACTCCTAGCTACCTCGTAAGGTAGCATTAGGCGTCGTGCTAACTGTTACCTCTGTAAGGAGCCGTTTTAGGCCCTCTACCTCGTCTTCTCCTGCGTTTAGTTCTCCTCCGGGTCTGTAACAAAAAATAAACGCAAAAAGAAATTGAGAAACTCCAATAGACAGTGATAAATACATCGCAAATTAAGGGACACTCCATACTTACAACTTGAAGAATGTTGTTCCCAATTGTAGAAGGAGAACATGTGGCAATCCGTGTTCGTGTACCAACAGAACTCCTTCTACACTGCGACGCATTCCAATTTTGTCAAATTCATCTCTCATGCGCTGAAACCTTGCTGGTACCGACGGATCTTTCTCGAAGAGTGGCTCTTTTGTTCCAAATGTATAGTTTGTCAAAGGATATCTATGATAAATGAGTTGTATTTTTGTGTTAGGTTTTTATATGCTTAACATGATCCTTCAGTAACTAAATCCAGTTTCTTCAACACTATTTCCACAAACAATATTACAGTATAGGATCGTAATGATTATACGGGTACTCACAATGCATTGGACATTTTGAGAATGTAACTTTTGTCCCTGGGAACTTTATATCAACTTCCACGTTTGACACAAAACGGAAAATATTATTTTTCATGCAAGCAAGAAGAATAATGTACAAATATCTGGTATAAAAATAGTGACTTTATATCTTGACAATTTTCATGTTTCAAAATGTATATACATTAAATTAAAAAAAAAAACACATATAATAAAATTGCGAACAAATATTGATAAAATGTATATCTGTGAGATTTACAAAGCTTGTATACAAATACAATGTTCAACAGGGTTCAACAAGGTATCATGTAACAAGTTGAACGGAACTTCATTTTAAGTAGTTGCAAAATTTACATTAGTGTATATTACTTATAGTATTAAAAATTACAAATCTGTTTGTATTATTTCCTTTTAAAGTACTTAATACTTATAATTTATATTGCTATTATAGTTTCATATTTTCTTCTCACACATGTAATGTGATAATAAAACAAAATACATTTTGTATACTATAAATCGACTATAATCATAAAAATACTTGCATGCCAAAATGTAAATACTCCAATAATGTTCTTATATCTATGTAGTGGATTCAATACATCATATGAGTTAAAAGAATGCTTTCTAATATGTTCATAGGTACACAGTACATCGATTACATTCTTCAGTGGTCAATTTTATATATAAAACATTACAAGTGTCGCATAATTAAAGGATATAAAGTTCAAAATGCATTATACGTCCTACCGGTTCTTCATATAAAAACCATAACAATCATGTTTCATTTCATAAAAAGTTGCTTAGAACATTTGCAACATTTATGTGCATTGTATGATTTCTTAACTTAACAATCAGACACAATTATGAACTATTTGCCATGAAACAGATGCACTCATAATAGCATAAGTACAAAGTATTTTATATTGGAAGTTTCATTTTACATAGAACATGAGTGGCCAATTTATGAATAAAAAAAATACATGTACTTTTCATAATTACAGTTTGCATAATTCTTAAAATGTAACAATATGGCTTGCACAATTATTTTGTACATTTCTTGTTTTGATACAGGATGTCACGGTCATTCGTACTGTACAAGTAGTGAACAGTGACAATTTAAGTATATACGCATTACAAAGTAACAGTCACTGTCTAATGGCTATTACAATGACCATGAAAAATAACAAAAAGTATTTTGTACGCAACTATACATTTAATGTACAAAAGAAGCCAATGTACTTGTACAACATGGCTACAGCTTTTATAAATTCTCAGTAATGGATACGTATAAATGTAACATTATAACAGAAATCAAATTTCCTTCTTATATAGCTCAAATATACTATACCCAATATAAATGGATCACAGAGGGTACAATTTTAATCTATATTTAGAAATTTTAAGCAAACGTTCATAGTTTTTATTCAAAAAATAGATTGTACGCGATATAGACGCATAAACAACACGAACCTTCCAAGGTACATTTATATTTGGTTATGTCGTATTATGGCGCGTGATCACCAATAATCGTTAAATCGAATTATTATCACATAAACTCGACTTCGTTGTTGCTTAAAATTTCCACGGTTACTTAACGAAAACGTGAACAGCCGTCTCATGGTTGTACCATGTAAGATGCATTGAAAGGTGTTAGGAACATAATTTTAATTGCTAGCGTCTCTTAACCGGCCATAGTTGTTCTACAGGAGAGGCAGTCAAAACATTAACTCTAAAAAATAATGTAATTAAGTCACAAATTTATTATCACTTACAAATTAACTGTCCTGTTGATAGTTACAGACTGGTTCTGTACCACTTTCCCTTCAAACGAACTGTTACTTGAACGCCTTGGCCAACCGCTTCCTTTAACTTGAGTTGTTGCCATCGCCATTTTTCTCCTCGTTACGTTCAGCAAACCCAACGATCCAACGTTCGTCCGCGCAGCCGAACAACTTCGAGGATTCACGAATATTTCAACACTGTTTGAAGGGTAAACAGTGTTGCCAGATGGTAAATAGTGTGGCACAGATTTTGATCGACAATGGTAACTCATGCCACCAACAGAAGGCGCTCAATTTTCTAATTTGTTGCGTATTCGCCCCAACAATCTCCCGCTTAAACAATGTCCTCCAATACTGTTGAAAAGTATCAAAATCGGTAATTGTGATGTATAATATTTATTAACGAAAATTTAACAAACAGTCTGATACTATTAGATAAATTTTCAATCACAATTTGATCGATTATTCTGTATTTTACAAAATGTTACTAAATGATTGTCGAATTGTGTAACTGTATTGGTTGCTTTTCATTAACTTTACGTAGTGAGAAATGTGGTCAAAAAGATTGCCAGCATCATCTACAGCAAAACACCTAAACTACCAGCTAATTAATGACTGATCATATTCCGAGATGGTACAACTACTTAAATGGGGCTAGTAGTCTTTCTGGCCACATTTGTAATTACGTATTGTAAATTTATTTATTTGGAAAGATTTAACAACAATCTAACACCGTAGGATGAAATTTCAATTACAAATTGTGTGGTCTTCCTGTATTCTTAAAAGTTTTTTATATGCATAGAGTATGACGACATCAGAGTTGATCAGAGGGAGCTTTCATTGCTGCCATAAGTCTCGGGCGTTTCGGGTTTCCGTTGTGAGATTAACAAGTATTTTGACCATCAGTATATATTAATCATTACAGTAGAGATATCTTAAAAATATATGGTGTTTGACTATTAGATATTATTACATTTTACATTCTAAACGAGTTGTAAGTAAAATATTGATACATAAAATCGATTTAACCTACAAACTTGTGAACTGCGTCTTTCATAATGTATGCTCGTGAATATTGGCAACAGTGAATAACACATCGGCGGGGTTTCCATGACCGATCGCACGGACAGCGGCAGCCATTCCGGGATACGCTTAGAAGAGAAAGCGTTTGGCGTTCTTTGGAAAAAGGAAATTTCTTTGTTGTCGCGTTAGAATTTATATACAACATCTATAGTCAACATTCTCCTTATGAGATCTGCCGTTTTTGCATAGTAAGTTCGGTGAGTCAAATATTTTCATGTGCTTCTCAAATATTCCAACACAACATTTCGACGCCTTGAAAAATGGCGAATTGGGGTAACACAACGTAAATTCAAGTTCTTCCCGTTGCCTTTGAATTTCGCCGGGCCACACAGCATAGTGTTTATTGCGCATAAAGATTTGTTAGATCGTGCATATTTTTATAGCTTTTTTGGCAATATTATGGCTCCTTCAATTTTCTGTGCTCCCACGTATCCTTTGTGCTTTGAAAATAACCTCGATACAGATCTGTTGTATCACAGCGATTCGTGAGTCACTAACGTTCAATGTATCGATTATCAACATTGTGAGGTATACACTAAATACTGTCGCGATCAGTCAAATACATTTGATAAGATTAAGTACTATTTTTTGCGCATTTATTATGTGCTAAAAATCAAGAACTGAGAAATATATATCTGATAATACAAGCAATATAAATCTTACGTTCATTCGGTATCATTTTCGTGTTTCTTGAACCAACGGATTCATGAAATGTGTTAATCAAGTAGTGCAAATATAATTGTTGGAGGAAAATTAAAAGTGGCATACATTAAAAACAACACACTTGCTGTTAATGAAACCGAAATATTGAGGTCGTAAATTAAATCTTATTTGCCTCTGTATCTTTCAAATTACAGATTCGACGCTCGGAGATTTTATAGTTCAATACCCGACCGATTTTTCGACCTCGCTATTTCAGTTCCACCTACAGTACACGATTTAAGTTACATTGCACTGAAATAACTTCTGCTACATTGGATACTTAATGTTTTTTTTATAGTTACAGTCTGCAATTGTTAATAAGAGGTTTTAGGTATAGTATGGAAAAAATGGTGTGTGTTGCAGGATCTTAGGCAACTCAGTGTGTGTTAGGTGTCAAGATCAGATATCGGCGTACATCAGTGGACTTTTGTACAATGACACGGTGCGGTTGACTCCTCCTTTTCTGCTTCTCCACTTTATTGTCCTTTGCTGATGGACTGTTCGCTGCTTGGTCGTCTTTATTCTCGTCGACTTCTTATCTTTCATCATACGTTTTAACTGAGGGTGAAGAAGGAAGAAATTTCTCAAGTGTCTAAAGCCGAAGGTAATACTTCATAAGTAACGTAATAAAACTTAGCTCATAATTCCGGAAGGGGAAGTGTTGTGATTTTACTGCAGGCTGATTCGATTCTTCGTTATCTTAGAACGATGTTCCGAGATGATCGTTGAAAAGTTTAAGCACCGTCTTGTCTTTATGTTTTAATGCGATATACACTGCGTTTCTTTATTTTTGTCATTATATGTTCGCATTATCAGGGAATGGTAAGTAATTAATGAAATTGCGTCAACAGGAATAATAAAGGAACTGAAAAACAACGCATAACATAGAAATGGAGAACATTCTTTATATTTGCATGATTGTCTCGTATGTTCTTCATTCTCTGCACAAGTATTAATTCTCAAGTGTACCCTGACAACGTAAACTTACCTTGACACGACATTAAAATAAATCACATTTTCCGAGGTGTATGCGTATCATGAGATTTGACGGTAATGATATATCCGGTTTTTATGTTTAACACGTTCGCTGCTGTGTCGAAGCATTATCGACACGAGACGAGAGTTGCCCCGTGTGCCAGCCTCCGACAGGGAGAGAGTTCTCCGTTGACTGCTACGTGTGTGCGTGCGTGTGTGGGAACGAGAATACGAATCGGTGGGCACATCACACTTCACGATATTCTGGTGGCAGCGAACATGTTAAAATAATAAGTGTCAAACATTCCTCGCGTAAACCTTTAAGATTTACACGTGTACGAATGAAAAAAAAAAGTTTAAACGTTAAACATAGAAGATCATAATCATGGATTCTGCTTATGATTACATCAGATTTAAGTTTCAAATATATACATTTCACAACTACGAACCATATACCATAACACGATTGTTTTCGTTAAACCTTTGTTTTATGGCAATAACAATGGAACGTGATCCTATAGTACAAAGATACATTCTCGAATGCAGCAACTATGATTATTTGATCCGTTTATAATGCACAGAAAGAAGGTAAGTTTATTTACAGTCAAGAAAGAAAACAAACATTGCACAAATCAAACATGTAAATATTTCGCAAAGTTCAAAAATAAGTCTTCGTCGCAGAACCGTACATTTTTTCTCTCTCTTCGTCTTAACGGAATTACTACTTGATTTTCTACAAAATGGAATACTTGCCAGGAACCTTAAATCACTTCGTAAATGTCGGAGGAACTGGTTAAAACTTACTTGATTTATCATTTTCGTTTAAAACGAGTTATATGATTTACGTTTACTTTATCACATAGTCTATGTAGTCTCTGGTTTCCACGTGATGTTTGGGTAAACACGAGCGATATTCAAAAACAAAGACACACCGAAGCGGGGATATCTGCTGCTCAAAATCTCGCAACTCTTCTTTCGAGAGGTCCTTGAGAGCTGGGAGCCACCGTCTTTTCATTCGAGCGCCATTCCGTTGCATGTTCTACGTGGACACAGTGGTCATCGTGTGTTACTCGACAGTGTTCTCTCTTCTTCCTGTTGCATACAATGCACCGAGTCACCGTGTGCGATTATAATCTTCTCATCTGGTTCCTATACGTTTTAAGGTCTCAGCATTATAAAAAAAAAAAAAAGAAAAACAGGCGTATAAACATAGAAACTGTTGGCGCATCGCTCGTGCATAACACGTCTCTCTTTTTTTTTTTTTTTTTTAAACAAAGCTACCGTATTATTCGTCGTCTGCGTGTCTTAAAAACACACTTAAAATTGTTTTAATCATAAAACAACATAAAACTAAACTAATCGAATGTAAGTTCGACGATATATCTAAACGTGCAATATATAAAAGCATCCGTAATATTTATCCGGAGACGTTGTCAGGCTCCGTGTGACGGGCTGTTTACTTGTAATCGTTTCTTTGTACATATTTCAAGAAGTGTTAAAAAGATTGGTGCTCAGCGACGGGGAAACGAATGGATTTGAACGGTACCCATGGAGGAGACGGCAATCTATCAATTACCTTCTGCCTGCACGGTGTATACCATGTTTATTTCCACCATCGCGCTACGTCTTACTGCGGTGTTTTCTGTCAGTGCAATATCTGATTGTAAATGCGTCGTATCTCAGGGGTGGATATAACCGTTCATTCTCGTTTTAGTCAGCCTGTATGCTTCATAGTCACATTTATTTATACTTTTTTTTTGCCTGCGCTTGGAACGGGTCTCGTTACCAGGTCTGCCCCCCAAGTGTTTGCGTTACCAGTAAGCAGAGATAATCGAGCTAGAGCAAGATCCAGTTGGTTATATTATAATTGGTGTATCATCGTTTATCGGCTTCTTAAAAAGAAATCAGACAGAATTTACAAAAAAAAAAAAAAAAGAAAGAAACGCCGTCGACAATTTAAGATGGAAGAGTGAAGTTTCCGGTCGAAACTACTGTGCTAATGCTGGGGATGCCATCGAGCCATTGAAATCGTTCAAAACTTCTTTTGCTCTACTGATTACTACGAACGATGCATCGAAGTGTCCAAGGATCACCGACGAATTCGATATATAGTCGACGAACTGTATCAGGAAGCGTCGTTTTCCAGGAGAATTAAGTAGCGTTTAACACCGTTCATCCCTGGACCGATGGCTCGAAAACGATTTAAAAGGTCTTGTCTAGAAGAAATTGAATCACGAAACAACGCTGTTTCTCAGTGGTGCTCCGGAAAATAGGGTTCGTCATTAACACGTTCACTGATCCGTGTCTGCGAAAGACGGGTACAGTAGTGCCTCGCTAATTGTCGCGACTCAGTATTTCGTTATTAGTCCACACGTGATTATCCCCATCCATCGTCACGGCTGATTTTCACGCATGCGCGGCACATCTCGTGCCACTGTGAAATCGATCCGTCCCCGTTTCGCAAACGGTCGTTTTGATTTAAAATTTAAAACTGAATACCAAAAGAAAAAAAATCGAATCATATTCAACTAAAGCAACCGAATATGCAGATGGAGCTTCTTCCCGTTTCCACGTTGGGTTCGACGACGACGATCTTCTCCTGACTTTCGCTCTCGTCGCCTGCGCCTGCCTCACGATAATTGTCGCCGCTCAGTTAACGCAACACCCGCCCGCGACAGTTAGCGAGACACCTCCGTACACCGAGTGCCTGCGATGAACCGAGCGATCTGTACCTCGAGTAACAACAAACTATGTCCCATATTCTTTCTTCTTTTTTTTTTTCTGAAACCGTATGTGTGTGTGTGTGTGTGTGCGTTATGACAGTGGGTTTCTTTAGCCTCGGAGGACAGTTTCAGATCAACGAGACATGGGCGACCATTGTGACTCGTTCGTGGGTCAGCGGAATGGTGAACGTGTTAAGAAAAAAAATATCAAAAGGTGAGTGCAAAAGAAGTTTGGAACCCGAGGCTTCTCATGACCAGCTCGTGTTAGGACCTTCGGAAACAGAGGAAGTGATAAGAGTATGATTATCAGAGGAAAAGAGATTGCGTAAAAGAACCACGGTTGAATATGTGTGTGTGTGTGTGTGCGATGTTTGTTTTGGTCTTTCCGAGTGCTAGTAAAAAGTTAGTTCCTATTGGTGACCGGAGGAAAGGGGGATCGTTGTATTACGGCTTTTATGATCAGTAGACAGCGGATTTTATGCATTTACAACCTATAGGTCTCTGTGAAATGCAACAAAGGACAAAATTTTCGTCATATGCAACGAGTTTCCGACTTTCTTTTGGACCCAATAAGATACTTGAGGGAAGAAAGAAATTCCTACTTTAGTTTTTCTCTTTATGAACAACCTTCTGAAATGTGATTTTGCATAAAAATCCTCAGTCTAAATTGATTAGGCAAATAGGGGATCGGGTATCTGGCCTCTGGTCAAAACCTTGAAGTATGGAACCATCGATGTGCCCCTTAAACAATGTACAATTTTCGTAAGAACAAGATAAAGACGGATAAAGTGAATTAGTATAAAGTGGGATCGTTGTCTTACGTCTTTTATGGTCAGGCAAATAGGGGATGGGGCGACATTTGGGACCATCAATGGTGTCCCTATGGGATTCGAAATCAGCGCACGCCATCGTAGACCAGCTGAAGTCTGATTAAATTTGAAACTTTTAAAGAACGCTGAACTTTTGGCGAATGCCTGGAAACAGCTTACGACGAACTATTCAGACGGCGTGAACGAAGGGAAGTTCCCGAGTCGTGGCTGCTTCGTCGATGAAGAACTTTCTGCGACGTCGCGAGTCCTCGATCTCCTCTTACGTTCGTATTTTACACGAGTGACGAATTTTGCTCGCGATTCACGGGACACTGAATTTACGTTCAGAAAGTCCGTACGATTGCGACTCTCCACTCCCGAATGAAAACTGGTTTTGCACGATCCCCTTCCCCCTGTTTTGAAGGCTACCCCTTATATCTCGACAATAGAGACTCTGCGTGTTCTGGTTCGATCTTTATGCGCTGCTGTAGAGTGCTGTAACGTGTTTCTGTTCTGCTTTCTAACCGTTTAAATATCGACGATCCGCTGGATGACGCTGATGGCTGGGTCCACTGGAACCCGTAGCATGGGACATTTTTAGGGATTCGGATATTTCAGGGTAACTTCGTCGGTAGGATAAGTCTTAACGAGCTCACAAATATAATGAACCGTTTAGTGGTAAATTGTATAGCTGGATCGGAAGCAGAGATGGGAAAATTCATTATCTAGATCATAGGTTCCCAAAGTGGACGCTGATGTAATCTGGAAGGGCGTTCGAGTTATTTTATTTTCAATTTAACTTTTTAAGATTCGAAAATTACACACGCAATTACACTTAGAAATTTTAATAATAGAGATAGTTTACGGGTGGGGGGGTGACCTGAAAAACCTTGGAAAGGGGGCGGTGAGTTAAAGAAGTTCTGGAAATTATGATCTGGATAAAGAGTTTTTAATAAAAGATAAAAATAGTACTTTCTAATTTTTAATCGATTTAAACGTGGAAATTTTAATTTTTATGATAAACTGATACTTCTTCTTGAGTGTGTAGATACTTGGGAAACAATTATTTAATTTCATTGACTGTGTAAGAGTCATGATAACGCTCTTAGACATTAGTGCGTTTCACTGTGTATTATTCGAATAAAATTCTACCCAACACTGATCGGAGGTTACAAATGTTATCGTTCGGCGAGAGTTCTTTTCGTAGATTTTTAACGTTTCTGTTACGAAGCCGATAAATATTGATTTAAAGTTAAATTACCCCTGCCATTTAACTTGAAATTACAAATTTAAATAGAAATATTGATTTAAAGTTAAATCATCCCTGCCATTTAACTTGAAATTACAAATTTAAATAGAAATATTGATTTAAAGTTAAATTATCCCTGCCATTTAACTTGATACAGCCAATAACTATAATACAGGTATATGTCCCGGAATCGATACAGCGAGGTCGTAAAATCTAATAATCGATAGTCTAAAGTTTACCGTGTTGCCAAGCACTGAAACAGCAATTAGGGGGATATAAGCAGCTCGAATGAATATAGTATGCGTCCTAATCCCTAAACAACTGCAGGTCTGGGTTAGGTGACGGAGATGCTGATTGAGAATTTCGTACAGTTTTAATGAACTGGCTCTGTATGCAGGAATTGAAAATGTTAATTTACCAATGACTTTTGCAGCCTGACATTTAAGGTGCTGATTCTCTGAGACGCTGTACTGCTGTGAGTGCCGCTACATCTGTCTTGGTGTCTCTACTTAAGGCTTTAATTTACGATCTTGTTGTATCGGTTCCAGTATCTATATTGGAGTAATGAAATCGCATAACGTTACACCGTGACTTTTGTGTTAACCGTACCGATATGTACGATACTGTTTTATTATGGATTATGTATTTATTTTAAGGAAATCTGAAAATTTCTATTTTTTTTTTCTTAATATCAGTAGTTATTGGATTATCTGTACCAGCGTGTATAGTCCAATTTTACATCGGATTAAGTATTTATTGTTTTAAGGAAATCGAAAGACTTCCACTATTTTTTTCATGGTGATATTCTACCTTATTTTCGAAGACTCTCTACCTTTTTGAAAAAGAAACGAGGAAAAGGTCTTTGAGTTTGAACTGTTTACAGTTGACTTAATGATTTCTTTGGAGACTTCTAGCTAGTAGACACTTCGTGTTCATTGATAACGATGGCCTGTGTGAAAATCTAGCGATATCAGAAGTGAAATCTCCGATTTGTTAATACACAGAAAGAACATTCGATATAGGGTAAATGGTCCCAATCTTTACTCATGTCCCTATTTCTACTCATCGAAATTGTAGTAAGATAATCTCCTAATTCAATAATTAAACTAATTTTATTTACATTTTTCATTTTTCTGAAGATGGAAAATCAAAAATCTAGAAAAATGTAGTGGAAAAAAGAAAAATTTAGTAAAAGGTATTATCAGAAATATATTGATCAAGCAATAATAAATATAAATATATATATGTATATATACACACAGATATAACTTATTCTTACCTAAACAGGCAATAAATCATGTAAGCAGAAATTGGTACAGATGGTGAGTAGAAATACGTACATCGTTATTTTTCGTGAGCAGAAATACAGACATTTAGGGCATTGTATTTAACCCTTTGAAAAGATGCTCATTCGATACGAACATTCTGAGTGTTCCGCAGTCAAAGGGTTAATTAGTTATTCTTTTCAATTAATTGCTTTATTATTAAGGAATCAGTCGATTACTTTACGAATTCTTACCACAAAAACATTTTTTACACCATCTGTATGACGAGTAAACGCTTAATTGGGTAGAAATTGGGATATTTATCTTACCGTCATTTATTCAGACGTATTTGGCTGTTGGTAACGTGAGATATAACTCTCTTGAGCTGACCACGTGTGTATGTAATCGAGAAACAAGTATATATGTGTGGATGTGTGTACTTTCAGTAACAATGGGTACCATTGTTATCGCGAATCTGTGATCTTGATCTCGATTGGTTTTCATTTGCATTCAAAGTGGCGGCTAACACAATGGTGGTTTTTATTGATGACGATCGTCGACACCGTGGGAGGACACGCGAGATGATGATGATGATCCATGGCTTAGCGGGCGACAAATTGCTATTCTCGCGACATGAGAAAATTAACGGCTCTCGGATCGGTAGTGATCTTTGTACAGTCGCTCGGCTTCTGGATAACGAGTGGTTTTGCACCAGAATCTGTTCTGCAAAATTCTGCCATTTTTTTTTTTTTGTTTCATTTGAATTCAATGCATGGTTGTTGTACAAAATCTGTACACAATTTATGTTACATTTTTAACATAATCGATTGTTCATAAGTACGTTGTTAATTACATTAGTTTACAAAATCTAAAAAATTCTGTGATCCAGACTCCACTATGAAATTCTTATGGAAGGTGGTCTTCCAAACTCAAAAATCGACATGACACGTAATACTATAGATACGTTTTTGAGATATCGCCCGATGAATTAGATGTATTTTTGTCGCGTATTTATTTATTTAAGAAGAAAACAAACTGAAATGCATTTTATAATATAATACAGCGTTAAAGAATTTGAAATTACATCAATCAAAGATAGCTTACGCGTCGTTTTCAAAGGATGGACTCTCCAAGAACAAACGGAACAATAAAAGTGCATATATTTAATAATTCGACTGCGGAGTTTATGCACTAATCGTAAATGCGATTGCGTGAAACAAAATGCAATAATAATATGTTTTCGTAAACATTACCAAACGAAAACAAAATTCACGTTCAGACTTAACGAAGCCTTTAATAAATGAAACAAACCTCTAACATAATTTCAGTTGAGTAGATTAATCTACAAAATACCTGAATTCGCAAAGAGATTCGCAGTCTACTAGTGATAAAGGAAAGAAAATCTTTAATTTTACTTTTACATATATATCAAAAAACAGAAGACAAACAAATTTCTATGACTTTCGAGTCTTCGTAAATAATCCGTCGCAACTCAACTAACTAATAAGGTATAGAATAAAACATCGAAAACCATACACATATATATGTACGCTACTGAAACGAAATAAAAATAAATGGAAACAGTTCAAGACTCGATTTTACTTCCCTTGACGGCGCCATCTTTGGGCAAATTTTCATTATTTCTGACTTGACGATCGTCAATCGTGTTGGGACATCCTCTTCTTCGATCCTGGTGTTAATTCGTATCGTTCTCGGCTCGGTTGCAGATCGTTCGTGGTAAACTGTCGAAAATGAGCGTGATAATCAGGCTACAGAACTTGGCATGGTCCGCCAACGCTCTGGACATTCGCCAGTTTTTCAGAGGGCTGAGCATACCGGAAGGAGGCGTCCACATCGTCGGCGGCGAGCTGGGGGACGCGTTTATAGCATTCAGGTAATAAAAACGACTCTAGTAATAGAAGAGTAGCTGCACAGACGCGCGCTATCCACACAACCGCCCCCGTTTCACCTACGCGCATCGCTTCTTCTACGAAACCGACACGCCTGAAGGGCGGGAGGGGCAGAACTCTCTTTTGCCTCCGCGATCGATCCGCCCGTCAAACGCCCCGCGCCGTTGGAGAAGTTCAAACGCTCCTTTTGCGGTTCATTGCTCTGCCAAGCGGCGTGCAACAAGTGGTTGTCGTTACGATTTCGTATTTATAGACCGTACAGAACCGCTCCACGGTTCAGCGATGGGACTGAGTGCAGCTTGTACAGCACGGAAATCGCAGTTTTTTTTTGTAGAAAATTGAACCTTTACCTAGTCAGAAGCAATTCGTCTTTTCAATTAGAACAGCGTGAATTTTGTTCAACACGCGACGAAACTCGGTTTCAGTAGTAAATTTGCTGCTAAAAAAAGTCCCATCGTTTCATGTACAACCTGACAGAAGTACGCTGAGAAAGGGAACACTGAATCTCACTGTCATGCATTCTACGTAGTTTCTTGCGTTCAACGTTGTGCCGCATACGAAGTGTTCCTTGGTAGCTAGCTTCCTGGAAGCCATGATTTTCTTATAATCTCTCGCGCTCGCCACACAGTAATTTGTAGTCGTAAAGGTAACCACTAAAGCGCCGTTGACGTTGCAATTCTCCTAGTGCAAAACAGCCTCTATCCTGTGACCTCCATTTAGACAACTAAACGAATCCAAACAATTACTTACCTACCAAAATTCGAAATCCATAGAATAATCCACGGACAGTTTTTTTTTCCACATTCCGTTTCATACAGGCTTCTTTCCACTAAAGATAAAGTGAACGGGGCATGTGACGGTACCCCCAGACCATAACCTAACCTCTAAGTTGTGAATTTCACTTCCACCTAAGTTTAAACCCACCGAACACGAATTTCCAGCACCGACGAGGATGCCCGTCAGGCGATGATGCACGACGGCGGCAAGATCAAGGAGATGAAGATCAAGCTGCTGTTGAGCTCGCGGACCGAGATGCAAAAAGTCATAGAGGCAGCCAGACAGCAGACACTGAGCCTGCAGTCGTTCATGCAAACGGCGCCGGTCGCTGTGCCGGCTGTGGTCCAAAAGCCGGGCTCACCTGGCGACCGTAGGGACAAGGAGAAGGACAATGACAGTGAGTCCGGCAAGGACAGGAAGGACAGACGGGACAGATCACGGTCCAGGGAACGGTCGAGGTCCCGTGATCGTGATCGTGACAGGGACAGACGGGACAGGGACAGGGGGCGGGACCGTAGACGCAGGGACAGAAGCAGATCGCGCGACAGAGAACGGGATAGAAGGGACAGGCGTCGTAGACGGGACAGATCGAGGTCACGGGATCGCACACGGTCCAGGGACAGGGACACGAAGCGCAGTTCCACTGGTGAGCGTCGAAAGGACACGAACGAGGACGACAACAATGACGTCGTGTGCGTCGGTCAGTTCCACAAGGACAAACCGGTGGCAGGCGGCGCGAAGAAACCGATTGAGAACGGGATCTGGGAGGTGCCACCCCAAACGCAGATGCAGGCGGCCGCCATGTTGGCGCCTGGGATCCTAGGCGCTGGTGTCGCCGCGTTGTCGCAAGACGGCGAACAACGCCCGATGACCTTCAGCAGCTCTGTGATTGGACAGCAGCCTCTGCTCCAGCAAAGCCAGTTCCCCATCAACGGAATAAACGGGGTGGGCGGATTGATACAGTCCCACGTGCAATCGCTCGGTCACACGGTCGGTATAAGCTCGCTCACGCAGAGCATTGGTAGCTCAAGTCTGCCTAGCCTAACGAGCGGAGTGGCTTCTCTGAACCGGCCCAAGGAATCGTGGAGCCAGAGTGAGCCGACGAGGCTGGACCAACAGGTCAGGTTCGCCGGAAGATCGACCGGACAATTCGGGACGGACGTGTACGGGGCGAACAACGGGTCTATGAACTATAGACCCGGGATCAGACCCAACAATCCGTTCATAAACAAGATGCAGGAACTGGAGGGACGTAGGAATCCGCACGCATTTCAGTCCAACAACTCGAATCAGTACAGTTTCGATAACGAAAGACAAGGAGGTGGTGGGGGTGGCGGAGGTGGTGGTGGTCGTGGCTCGAGTAACAGCTCCTCGAGATTCTCCAGCGAGAACAAGAGCACCAGCAGCAGCGGCGGTCACTGCGTGGAGGTTCGTAACATGCCGTTGAGCGCCACGTACAACGACGTCCGTCACGCGTTCCAGGGCATCTACATCAGGAAGGACGGTCTGAAGCTGATCAACGACAACCACGGGAATCGTGTCGGTATCGCGTACGTTAAGTTCAGCAAAGCCGAGGGCAAGGAACTGTCACTGAGCACGCCAAGATACGTACGCGGCTCGGAGGTCGAAGTTCTGCACCTCGACGAGAGTATCTTCGACAAAGCGGTGGACTCGTACTCGCCCGAGAAGGAGGACAGCGTGGACGACGTTAGATCCTCGTCGTGTATCGTTCTCACCGATCTACCCTCGTTCACCAAGGAGATGGACATAGCGAATCTGTTCCAAGACTGGAAGATCAACGATCTGTTCATCACGAGCGCGAAAGAGACCGGGAACGTTCAGGCGTATGTGCAGTTCGCCAGGATCGAGGACGCGAAAGCATCCGTGAACACATCGCTGAAGATCGGCAGTAAATCGGTGACAGCGACCGCGATCACCGAGGAGAAGTTCGCGCAAGCGAAACGGGACCACGAACAGAACAGCATGAGCCAGACCGTGACTTCCGACTGCGTGATCATGCGGGGCCTACCGTTTCAGACGATCGACCGTGATATATGCGATTTCTTCTCGGACATCGGGATCGTTCCCGATCGGATACACAGGATGTTCAACCAGAACTCTAAACCCACCGGCGAGTGTTTCTGCGAGTTCGACACCGCGGACGAGGCGCTTCGTGCTACCGCGAAGAACGGGCTACCGTTCGGCAAGAACGTTCCCACCATAGAACTGGTGCCGCGTGCAAAAATGTTGGAGCTACTCAGTATGGTAGATCCGCAGATCATGGAGACACAACAACAGCATTTCCCGCCTCTGCAAGAACAACGACCCCGTTTCTCCGGGCCCATAAATCATTTGCCCCGTTTCGGGAACTCTGGCAGCTTCGGGCCCAGGTGTCCACCCGGTCTAATGGGCATGCCTCCTAGACATCTGATGGGCAGACATCCCGGGTCCATGGACTACGTCGAGGGTTTCGGCAAACCTGGCTGCGTTTTGTCCCTGGAGAATGTACCGTTCAAGGCGGACATCAACGAGATCATCGAGTTCTTCGGCGACTTTGACGTGAAGCGGGAGAACGTGATCAGACGCTACAACGAAAGAGGCATGCCAACTGGGGACGCTAGAGTGGCATTCTTGTCGCCCAACGAAGCACAAAGGGCGCTCAGAGAGCTGAAACACTGCAAGATGAGGGACCGCACTATATACATGAAGCTCGCGTGAACGTTAGGGATAGATTTGGCCGAATTGCATGACTTCCAGAGAAACATCGAACCAACCTCGTGTGACTGAGAGGTGGTGGAGTGTGATCAAGGAACTTCGGACCCGTGGACAGTGTCCGTTGATTGTTTTTGTACGGGAACAACGTCGAAACGTTGTAGTCGATCGAGGGCTGAGTGTTAGGGGGATCGAGTGCCTCGAGGGGCAATCGATTCTTTGTTCGTACGGTAAGAATTGTATTTTGCTTTCAACGATATGTTCGTCATTGATTCACAATCTTCGTTTTCGTCTTTTCATTGTACATAGAGATTATTTCTTCGAGGAGGACAGCTTTTTTGTTTGCCCACCGCGTGGACGTCACTCGTCTGTCGTTGTAGATGATGCGGAATTTGACTACTGCTCAAGATTATTTTTCTTTATCACGAACCGATACACGAACCGCTTCCGTTTGAGGGAATCTTATATTAGTTAAGTTAGGTTAGGGGGTAGCTTTTTTCTGTGACTTCGAGCTACAATTTGTAGTCGATTTCGGTGGACGCATTCACGTCTCTTTTCAGTTGAGTTTCACGAGTGAAAGCACACCGAGTGTTCAGTTTGTTCAGATGATTCAAGGGCCGAGTGTCGATTGTACCTCTTCGGAAACTTGACTAGAAGTGTAGTACCGTTTTTGTACTTGAGTTCGTCTCGACGGTGAACTCTGAACTACTTTTACCCCTTCTTATTAGGGTTTAGCACGTAGTTCGATGACTGTTTAGTTTTCATTTTGTATCTTATTGATTTAGGGATGACGCAAGCTTTTATCCCATCGATCACGAGCCACGTTTTAATATTCCCGTGTACATTGACGTTAAGGATTGTACATACAACATAAATTGTTTCTAGCCTCAAAAAAAAAAAAAAACTGTATCGAGTTCTTTTCTACCGCTTGGCATACGCAGATATCGTTGATTAGTACGTATTTGAACCAGATCGCAATAACAGGAACAATAAAACGCGGTTGCCTCGATATCACCTCAAGCGGTTTTTTTTACTCCATCGACACCAATCGAAATGGTGTGAAACGGTTCAACAAATGATGCTAGTTTCAGAATTTCCTCGAGAAGACCGATATAGCGAGAAAACAAGATGGCCGCTCAAATGTTGTAAGTGAATCGTACAAGGTGTATATAGGAAGATCGAAGTGTGAGAGGCATCGATGCGAAATCTGCTCCGCGTTAAACTCAACATCGTTTCTCGAACGAAGGATCGATGGTAGAGAATCCAATATGGCGAACGCAAGGAGTAACGATACAGACGCCATGTTTCCTAACAACAATTATGTATGTACATTACATATGCCGTGTCACATTAATTTGTATATAGATAATATATATATATATATATATATATAAAGACAGGCAAACATAGGTAATTATGGAATATAATACACTACGCAATAAGTGTAAAATAATATTTATACGGCGAGTGTATCGATGAATTTTGTAGGTGTACTTATTTGTTCATTTTACCGTACGTTTCTGTTCAATATAAGCACTTGACGACTACAATAAATTTATATTTACATCGACGCTGCTGATCGAGTTATTTCGATATTCTCAATCCGGCCCAGTTTAGTTCTTATGATCGCTGCAAACTCAGTATATTTACGAAATAGAAGATGGGTAAGAGATATATATGATCATCGATGAGTCAAATAAATTGATTAATTTTCAGTTGATTCAAACTAGGAAGAAATGATACAGATGATTTTTAGACTGATAGAACTGGGGTTACTGATAACCTCAGACTTACAGGATAAAGTATGTACTTTATATCTTAAACTTACGGGACTGGACATACCTTCTGGACACTGGTTTCCACGAATTCTTCTCCTGTTTCTCCAGTCCTTAAACCCCATTTTCCTGTTCAATTTAATATTCGCCCTTCCAATGGCAAATTTGTACTTCGAAACACTTTTCGATTGGTGTCTGATATATTCTTTGGTTTAACCTATCCAGCAGAGACAAGAAGCATAATTTACAAGCTAATTGAATATTGTGTTCACATGCAAAGCAGCCTGATCCCCGGCCCCGAAATAATTTCATATTTGTTACCGAAGACGAAATTATGCAAACGGTCCGCGGGATTCCTTGAACTGGTTATTACCATCGCGTAACCTGTCAGGCGAGTTCGCGTCGATCCGCATGCGCCCGGGATAGATCGATCGTGATTTTATTGCCTGTGTCGTGATTTACATACAATAAATCACCCGAGAAATTTAATCGAACGGCGACGTCTGCCGATGGGAACAGAAACGCCGCGAATAAATTTCGTTAACCGTAACCCCGAAATTACCGTTTTCCTGTCGCCACTTCCTGATCCCAGAAACGTTCTGTTCGAATTACAAATCGAGACTCGCAAATAAAAACGATTTCAAATTATGCTATTTCCTTTAACGTTATATATATTTCTCATGTCGAGTTGTGTATATCTGACCAAGGTCTGTTACGTGTCTATTGGTTGAACGATAATGAAATTCGAGACCAAATTTTGCGTCGAAGCCGAAGGTTGAGTCAATTTTGACCCATGGTAAGATCTCACAGATACATGCGTATACACAAAAAAAATATTTCGATATGTATTGTTCACGAACAAAGTGATTCCGTGATTGTGTAGTCGTTGACGGGTCGCCGATGAACCAGCCATAGGAACAAGAGGATTAAATATAGGTTGCATGAAAATGAACTTATTCTACCAGACCTCGATATTTTCCACACAATTTCACAAGAAGAAAAGATCGAGAATGACACACATTTTAAAAGTGCTGTCGACCAAGAACATATATAACGAGGTTGAAGTTCTACCGTAGAACACGCCACCGCCGTTCTCGTGACAAGTGTCCGACAACGAGACGCTGACATTACGGTCGCATAAATACATTAAGCATACATCATCACGCATAACACAATAGGCGACAAGCTAATCGCGTGCACGTGACAATCGTTGGTGATCGTCACGCTCGAAGGATATACACAAGGCGAGATGAATAAGAATAGAAATCGCCATTTTTTTATTTTTTTTCCCTCGTCTACAATGAAAGAGGCATTCTGGGAGCTCTTTAAGACTCGATTGGCAATGATCGTCTGGCAAACATGCCTTTTAGCGGTTGTCGTTAAGAAACGAGAGAATGCAATAGTCGGCTCGAAACAACAGAGTTGGAACGGGACCAGTTGGTCTGTCGGTCAATTTCTTGGAAGTGACGAATGTGGTAGAATTTTCGGGATTCGGTGCCAAGAATGTGTCGTGGCGAAGCCAGGCGGCATACTTGTGATCATCGATAAATCAATTTTAATTTATCTTCCTTCAGAATTCATTGCATACTTTTCAATTTTACAGGTTTGTTTCCAGGAAATACATCACGTTTCAAAGATTCTCCTTCCGAAACCGATCATCTTGACGGCCGCCATCTTGGATTCCTACTTTAGACGTAAAAATCGTTTGATGGTTAAACGAAGTACTATATACACTGAGCTGAGATAATCAGTTTAGTCTAAAAATGTATACACGCTCTGTGATTCTTTCTTTTTTTACAATCTGGTGTGTATACGTGTACTATAAAAAAAAATTGAATTCCATAGAAATTAGTCACACATGCTTTCATGCGTACTACTTCATTAACCTATATTTTAACTGACACAGAACATTTACAAATACCAATACTCAGGTATCAAAATCTATGTTCATAGACTGTAACCACTTAATCTAGACTGATCTGATTAATCTAACTCATTCACTTACTTGTGTACTGATCTGATGTATACTAACCGATATTTTGCATAATAGCATTCTAAGTACTCAAGTCAGAGAAAACATTCTTAACACTGATTGGTCAATGCAACTGCTCACCAGCAGAACCAATGGACAGCAATGTAACAGCTGAAAGTGACTCAAGAGAAAACAAAAGAAAAGCGACAGAACTTTTCTCGCGATCCTATAAGAATCAGCTCCCCGTAAGACGGTCGAATAGATCGATAATACGAATCAAGCAAAGTAGCTTAATGCCAACTGGCCTCTGTCTTCAAGACACGGCCATTCTTTCCGGGGCCGAATCAGTTGCGTTGTCCAGCTCGTTAGCAACTCGTCGCTCGTTCTTCGTGACCACTCAGCTCGCGAAATCTCTCGCGTGTCGCGGAGCCTAGGCGCGGAGAATGGCTACAGAAATAGCCGGTGACTCAATATTTAGGCAGCGCCAATTTACCCCGGCACATTTAGCACGGTCAGACTCGCGTGGGATACGATGCCCACTCCCAGCGATCGAAAATCAATGGATCACTTCAACACTTCAGACACATAGGACGCTCAAGACCCGGAGGAAACTGAAAGTGGTTGAGAAGAGGATTGAATAGAGATGTTGCTAACGATTATAGATACAGTCTTCAAGGCGTCATTGTGCGCCATGTGCTATCTGGGACGGAATTAAAAATTGCCGTGTATACTGGACATCGAAAAGAGGATGAACGTACATGAAAAATCAACGTCAATGGAAACTTCCCACATAACATATTCACCGTCGCGGACGGTTCGCGAGCAGTCGTGTAAACGCGCGACATCTGCAGACCATTAATCACACTAGGCGTCGGTCCATCATATCGGGGTGTGTATCGGAAGGCTGAACGGGGGACAATTTCATAGGCTCGTCCCGCAAAGGACACACCGTGAGTGTCGTTTCACGTAACGTTGATTCGATCATTATTTTCATTGGCACGGCTGTTTCATGGTGCATGGGATCGTCGCGGAAGCATCTGGTTACTACGCAGAAGACGCAGCCAACAAGGACACGGTCGACACTACAAACGAACGTCTGTTTCTCGTCGAGGAATTAATGAAACACGGTTTTCGCTGTGTATATGTAGAGAAAAAAAAAACAAAGAAAATTTCTGAATAATTTTGAATATCTAAAATCGACCAATCGGCGCTCCTATGACGCAACCGTGTCGTCATCGGTCGTCGGTACCCGTTAAAAACGCGTTTGGATTTAGGAGTTTAGAGAAGAACGACGGAGCAGATTCTGACTCGGGGCTTTGTCGTTTATCGAGGCATTTATTGATCCGTTGATGATAGTTTATGGACGGTGGTTCTCGGTAAAGAAGAAATTTCCGTCGACGGCGCGCATGAATTTATGCTCATTGTTCGTGGGATTTGTT